GTTTACTAGTTAAGTTTGTTTGTTATGATGTTCTGGATGACTAATCTACATTCTTCAAGTAACACAGACAAAGAATTTGCAGTATTGACAATAAGTTTTTCTTGAATCTTCTTCATCTTCCAACATTTCCTGTGAATCAGTTTCCTGTTATTGTGGTTGGTCTTCTCTCTGTTGTGACTGGTCTCATTGTTGTGGTTAGTCTCTTCTTGGTTGTAACTGGTCTCACTGTTGTGATTGGTCTGTTCTTGGTGGTGACTGGTCTCCTCTTGGTTGTAGCTGGTCTCCCCTTCTCTGGTCTAAAAATAAACCTTTGCACTTCTTTTTAAGAGGGTCAATTCTCTTTCCAGCCACCTTCAGCTCTTCCATCACTTGACGGCACACTTGTTCTGCCTTCACAGTAGCAGTCATTAGCACTTCAGCAGCCCAACTGACCCGTGAACATACATTACTAAAATAAAGTTAAAGCATCAGCGCTTCAGAATTGTTGTCGGACGATCAAATTATGACGTCACCGCGGATAAACACTACATCCTGAACTGGTGTGGGTCATTCTTCACGTCATCATCCCTCTGTGACATACGTGGTAATATCTGCTACGTCACTAGCTTGGATGGAAGACTTGCGCACATTTCTGACGTTACAGAAGAAAAAGCGTAGCGACATCATAAATCCAAACGTGGCGAAGCGTTTCCTGCAACAAGTGCTAATAACTGTACGTGTGTGTGTTCTTCCACATGATGTTATCATAACCTGATCAACTAACTCACTGACAGCCTCGTATGTCTGCTACATCTTTATTTAGTATATTATTCAACTAGTTACTTATGATGGTTGATTGGTTAATTAGGTTTAAAGCTATACAATGGTCATTAATTAAGGCTGCATATAACACGTTCATAATCACTAAGATTACTGTTAACTGTCTTGAATTAATTAATCTAAATTTATACGTAAATTACTGTAGCAAAACAAATGAATGAACATTTGTGTTAACTTCACAACTCATGGTTATTGCAAACTACAAATTAGTATAGTGTTAATATATTATGGATTAAAATTATAAATGAGTTATGTTAATTAATTTCGTCATGTAATTAAGGGTAATACTCAAGCAATGTTGGAGACGTGAGTCAGGTGAGGTTATTAAAACATTTACATAACGCAGGTGAAAATTAGTCACACCTGTGGTAAGGTTGTCGCACTTTGTAAGCTGCGAGATCGAGAGGCCTGAAGAGGTTAAGATAGTTTAAGATACTCGGTCCTTGAGATATTTGCTGCCTTTATACACTTATTAGTGTATGAGGCTTCAACAGAGAGCGTAGTACTGGTAAGCCATTATGCAAGAACAGTGTATTCCCGCTGCCTTCATCCTGTCTCACAACTTGAACACACAGCGAGGAATAATTAACTCTGTAAATACCAACGATGTTTCATTTGCTGCAGAATTTCGTCCAGCAACTTAAATATTAAACATTCAATCCTCCAAGTTCGGCAAAAAAAAAGTGTGGTTATGAAGGCTTTAAGTAGGGAAGATGTGTCCAGGACTGTCAAACGCAAGGCGTCTCCTAATGTTTATTTCCTTTTAATAATATTAATTTTTATAGGGGTGGACGGATAAGTCAGTGGAAGACCTCGGTCAGATGACCAAAACCTCCAATGGCGGGTCATCATACGACTAAGACCCGCTTCAGGAAACACTTGTCCTGTTGTATTAATGTTGGTAGAATTACCGACAATGTGTTAGGTAAAAGGACACAAGTGCAACTAATGTGACATTTTATTGTGGCAACGTTCCGCTCTCTTTACTTGTCCTATTTCCTGACGGGTACTACCTAACCTATGCGTTATTTTCTTGTGGTGGTACACTATTTAGCCGCCCCGGGTCATCCTATAACAAAAACAAGTGACGAATACACTAACAACACAATGGTGACTACTCTGCTTCCATTACCGCCAAGGAGAAAAAAGACCCTGATGCGGAGGATTTATACGTATAGTGGAACCGGACTCAGAGGACTCTGATAAGATGGCAGTGGAACCGGACTCAGAGGACTCTGATAAGATGGCAGTGCTCTTGTTGCTTCAAAATTTGCAGTCATAAATCATGGTTTGCTTGAGCCATCGTATTCACCGGTCCGATCAAGGCAGCTGTTCTCTGTACGAGGTATTAATCAATGCTGAGTGAACCATAGTGACAAGAGAATTGACGACTGAATAAAGTAAAATGGCATAGTTTTGTAACAGTATTGTGGAAAATTGCATTTATCTGAATGTAACTAATTATGTACATAACAGTAAATGATAACAAAGATAATTATTATTTATCAATGTTACATAGACAAGTAGGAATTTGGGACACCTTGGTCGCAAAAAATGTCCCCCTTCGATACCTACCACTGTCATAACCACAAGTTGCTCTGGACCTATTAATTAAATGAAATATACATACACCAGGAATACTGGTAAATATATAAATTTGTGGACTGTATATTAAAAATAATAAATGGTTATATATATACACAATTACATAACAGAAGGAAAATATATCTTAATATCACTCACCAATTTGACTGGAGATTAATGTGTATCATACTCAGAAAACCTCACTCTAACTAAATCTATGAAAATAATGCTGGCCAGAATTACACACAAATCTAGAGAGCTTATCTGAGGTTCCTGGAGCTGTCTTGTCCAGTCGTCTGATATCTCAAGTTATGCAGGAATGCACATCCAACAATGTCGCCTCCTATTTGAGAGGTGTCAACACAATTTTAACCTCTAGAGCACGAAAAGTTCTTCCCATTACACCAACGTTTGTGCAAAATTCAAAACCAAGATGGCGAGTGTCTTCTTTTTTTCGATAACATGCTTCTTTTAAAAATACAATATTGGGCATCTATTTACCTATAAATTACCGTATTTCCGGAAAATATATACAGTATTTTCCACAAGTATGATTGCTGTCAAAATTCTTCTATTATAGTATTCTAAGATACTCGGGGACATTTTTCGATTTTTATTTTTGGGCCGTAAAATCCAAAAAGATGATGGCAGAGAGGAACGTGCTCTGCCCAGTAATATAAACTAACTTTCCCCCAAAAATAATAGTTTATAATGTTTTAAAAGGCAATTTAGAAGAAAATAGGTGTTAATAGTGTCTGCTATTTTGTCCCTTTTGATCTCTAAATGTAATAGTATCTACACATATAACTTTCTTTCTGGTTTATGCGGGCTATTTAAGTATTGTTCCACTCAAGGTATTGTAATTTTTGCTCTTTTCGGAATATTATTATTATAATCAAAAAGAAGCGCTAAGCCACAAGGACTATACAGCCCTTTTCGGAATAGTATTTGATACATTGTTTATCCTTGATGCTGGTGTGACTCGTGATCCAAGGAACTAGAGTGATCCTCCCCCTTGCTTGGGGGGAACGTGAATGCCTCTCATTCCACAGGTGCAATATAACATGCTCACTGTTTACTCCCGTTTAAAATAAACAAAATTATGAATAGCATCAAATTTTAATGGCTGAGTCATCTTATGAAACAGTTTTTTTTATAAACCTTGGTAATAAATACCGACGTATTGGTTTAGAAAGACACTAGGACATATTAATTAAAAACGTTTCGGTCCTCGGACCTTGATCAAGGTCCCAGGACCGAAATGCTTTCTAATAAATATATCCTAGTGTTTGCTTACGTGTCTTTCTGAACCATATTTTTTTTTTTTTTGGCTTTAGACTGTGTAGGCGCACATTATGTTGAATGTTGCGCAATAACAGGAGAATGTCTCATGTAGTTAGTTTTAAGCTTTGCCTGCTTATATTTTCTTCAAACAAAGCTTCGCAGTGATTTTAGGTTGTGTAAGTTTTAACCAAATTAGTTTCTGCTGATCACAAATCATTTACAGTGTTGAACTCCATCGGGTTATCACATGATTAAAAATACATAATGTGCTCTTATCTGCACATAATATTTGTGTCCTAAAGGATATTGTAAAAACTTGTGTTACGAACTTAATTACGTACTTAAACGCTGGTAAATAATTTTTACTTAGAAAAAAAGCTGGATTGATTTTGGCCTTTGTAGGTCCCAATTTGCCTTTTTTCACGGAACAGGGAAAATTGAAATAACGATTTTCCTGGAATATATTCTGAGTGCATCATCCTTCAGAGCTAATAACTTGATAATGAAAATTCTGAGCGGCTTCAAACTTAATGTGGTGGTATATTTTATGATAGACGCTTGAAGCTGGTGTTTCCTAGTGGAAGGTTTAAATTAGATTTGGGCTGTATATGTCCCAATTTGCCATTTTTATTGAAGAAATTGTTATATTTCTCTTCATATGAGGATTTGTGAATGCCTCTTCTGATTCACTTCAAATATTCATCACTAAATTTTGTCTGCGAACCAAATTTATGCCTCACTCAACACTGTTCCAGTCGGTTGCACTGAGATACAAGGGACTGCGGTTATGCAATACTGAAACACTTCCAAACTGCTACTCCAGACAGTCTGGAAGTGTTGCTCCTGACTGCTCCATACATGGTCTCGGAGCAACTGGTTAGAATCCAGGAGCTGCAACTGGGAATGACCGTTTGAACAGTTTGAGGAAATTGGAAGTAACCCGGAAATCCCTACAATATTTATGACATCGATAGCGGATTATTCTGTACAATAGAAAATTCAGTAATGGTGTGTGACTAAACATCAACATTATAGTACAAATAAATCTTCGGAGATTGCAAGCTAACTAGTATATAATTAATTTTATTTCATTTTCAATTTTAATAAGGGCAAAGTAACACATATCGGAGTTAATTACTTAAATGTATATGTATCTACCACAAATGAATAACAAACTTGGGAGTGACAGACATTAATTATTATCAAAAAGGCAGTGCATTGATCTAGTAAATAAAGATAACATTGGATTATCTGTTCGAGAATGTCGTGTTGTAGTTGTGTAGTTCTTCGTGGGTCTTATTCTAGAATACAGAATACGTTTTGGTTAACGCAATGAAAAGAAAACTAGTGGGGAACTTGTTTTAGTACAACGCTGAGCGACTAAGATGAAATTCAGGCTCAGACCGCATCAGGTTACAATTCTTCTGAGTTATTTATCACAATAAGATAAATGATGGTACATACAAGGAATGAAACCCCTGAGTAGCTCCATATGTTTAATAAAAAAACATTTAATCAGCGCAGAGGATATGGACAGGCAAGCCTGTTGGTGACACAAACATTGGTGACGTTACTGAATACTTTGCCACCTGAACAAGTGTACTGGTGGAGGACGAGTCTGCTGGAATCTGAGGCAGACTTCGAACATGTGTAGTACTTCTCACACTTACACTCAGGGTAAGCATACACTCCTATATGTTTATCCACACACGATGGTACATCACACCTAAGAACCTGTGCGGTGGTAGTGATAGAAATGATGGTAGTATCACTGGTAGTATCACTGGTAGTATAACTAGTAGTATCACTGGTAGTATCACTGATAGTATCACTGGTTGTACTTGTACTGGAGTTGGTAGTAGTCACAGTGGTGGTAGTGGTATTTGTGCCTGGATTAGCACTGGAAGTAGTCATAGTAGAGGCAGTAGAGGTTGTGAAGATGGTCGTACCATTTACATAAACACCTGGACACACAGGATCGGCGCCAGCTTTTATGCAGAAAGCCGCCTCTCCTGTGTCAGTAGCAAGTAACTCCAGCCCAAACCCTGTACATCTGTGTGGCACGGGACACTGCCCTCTGCAAAATCGGAAATTAAGTTCATAGATAAACTGAACCTACTACTTGTATACTCACAGTGCCTTCGATGAATGACTTTCTACTTGGCACAAATTCTATCATATTTCTCAGTAGTATTTGAACCCACAATTAATACATATTAACAGAAAATGTGTTGAGAAGCGTATGATCCTTATCTCCTGTCTCAACTGACTGGAATTAAAGGTATGTCTACTGTAGTGTGTTGTCAAGATAAATATAAGCAATTTACAAAGCGTCATGGCAGGAAACTAATGCGGGAGTTAAGTATTATGTATAAACAAACGGAGAGGCCAAAAAAAAAAAAAATAGTAGTCTTCCCTGGTGCCTGTCCAACACATTTACGTTACTTGATTACGACTACACCTCGTCTCCTGATTATCACTCACACCTAGCGAGCTCTTACCTCTTTACCACTTTCCTCACCTAATTACCACTGCAGTTCATACCTTGTACCTAGCTTTCCCCACTTTCACCCTCCCCTCTTCCATCATTTATCGATAACCCCTGCAACCCCCCTTCCCCGATCAACTCCCGCTCCCTTAACACTACTTACTTCAATCCCTTGATGCCTTGATGTTGTAGAAAGGAGTGTTGCTGTAAGGAACTTAAAGTTACTTTACCTTTATTAGATCGAATCTGACTGCCACTCATTCCCCTACGGGCTAAAGCCTTCCCCACAAATATACTACTACTGTTATTACTACTTCTGTTACTACTACTTTTACTACTACTACTACTACTACTACTACTACAACTATGTGTGACTACATTTGTGGTCACAGTGGGGCGCATGCTAACCAATCTATGGTGTATAGAAATATACCTAGTTGGATGAACCTTATTAGAGCCAGCTGGCCAAGTGGTTAACGTACTGGCCTGTCCTACTTTCAACTTTAACACTCGCCGTCTGGTTGAATCTTCTCTAATACACAACTTTCCTTGTATGAATCTTAGTCCTGGCTTCGTCTCTCTAGATACCTTCCTTTCCCATTACTTTGAAAAAATGCTCCAAACTTCAGAACACTCGTGACTTAACCTGATTCCTTTTTCCTTCTCTTCTTCTCTCTCTTCCCCTTTCCTCTTTCCTTTTTCTCCTTTGGGTTGTCTTTCTTCTGCCTTGGGTATTTGTTCCTTCATTTTTTATTCCCCCATCCCCTGTGTTCTTGCTCTTACCCTCTGTGGGCACCTAACTCCCTCGCAGTCTTCTTCTTTCTCAGTATTTGACTAGCTCCTCCTCCTCCTTACTACCTCCCCACTACTACCTTCTACCTCCACTACTACCACTACCACCTCCTACCTACCTTTTCGTTAGTGTCACTTTGTAAACAGTCCAAGTCGGACCGAAACGTCGTTGTAAGCTCCTGTCTTCTATGTGCGGGTTATTTGTATATTGTTTCAGGACTCACCATGGGCTCAAGCTTCACCCGATCCGTGATTTATCTCCAGTAGCGTTATTAAGATTTCATGAATCACTATCTCTAATGACATTTTTAACGCTATTACAGTTTCTTATTGAAGAAAGGAGACCCGAAAAAAAGAAACACATTCACCATGAATCATTCAGTAGTTGTCTTCCCTGCCTGGTCACAGACCGGGCCGCGGGGGCGTTGACCCCCGGAACTCTCTCCAGGTAAACTCTCCAGGTAAAACTCTCCTGCAGTCCGCAGACATCACATTTCATATGACACTCCGAACTTGATATTGCATTTGGAAGGTCATTTGATTAGTGATGGCTGCGCACTTCTTGCAAGACAACTAGCTAGCTACTGAATGAGTTATGGTAAACGTGTTTCTTTTATTGGGTCACCTGGACCTCGGTAAGAGACGGCCGGTGTATTAAGGAAACGTATAAGCAAGAAATACAACAACGACAACAATACTAACAACAATAACGACAAGAAAAATAAAACAGTAATTATAATAACAATAATAATAAAATATTAGAATTATTATTAACAATACTAATAATAATAATAATAATAATAATAATAATAATAACAATAATAATAACAATAATGATAATAATATTGATAATAATAATGATAAAAACAATAATAATAATAATAATGATAATAATATTGATAATAATGATAAAAATAATAATAATAATAATAACAACAACAACAACAATAATAATAATATAATAATTATTAATATAAAAATTAAAACAAGAATAATAGTCTGGCACTCACATCCTGTCCAAGTTCGTCTTCCCGACAGAATTCGTCAGAGTTTGGCACTCGTCTAGCGTGCAATAGTCACTTCCTCACATACGGTTAGGTCAGTTTAGGGTAGATTAAATCAGGTTATGTTAGGTTAAGTTAGGTTAGGTTATGTTAGGCTTAGTTAGGTTGGCTTTAGTTAGGTTATGTTACGTTAGGTTACATAACGTTAGGTTACGTTACATTAGGTTAAGTTAAATTAGGTCAGGTTAGGTTAGGTTGTAAACTATAAATATAAGAAGAAAAAGAGGCGATAAAATAAAGATAAGCGGCGCGAACAGAAAAAAATACGGCAGCCACTGCGCAAGGGTAGAACAATAGTCAGATTACTACTGTTCAAGGCGCTTTCAACAGTCACCCATTTAAGTATTTTTACAACTGTACCATGATGTCTGTGGTTAAAAGGACGGGGCTGGAGTTTGATATGCTACAACAGCACCGATACTCTTAAAGATTTATTCCCAACACCAGACCTTGCTCCACCATCAAACATTGCTTCAGGACCAAATATTGATTCACCAACAAACACTGTTTCACCACTAAACCTTGCTTCACCACCAAACACTGCTCCACCAACACACCTTGCTTCACCACTAAACCTTGTTTCACCACCAAACTTTGTTTCACCACCAAACACTGCTTCACCACCAAACACTGCTTCACCACCAAACACTGCTTCACCACTAAACCTTGCTTCACCACCAAACACTGCTTCACCACCAAACACTGCTTCACCACCAAACACTGCTTCACCACCAAACTTTGTTTCACCACCAAACACTGCTTCACCACCAAACACTGCTTCACCACCAAACACTGCTTCACCACCAAACACTGCTTCACCACTAAACCTTGTTTCACCACCAAACACTGCTTCACCACCAAACACTGCTTCACCACCAAACACTGCTTCACCACCAAACACTGCTTCACCACCAAACACTGCTTCACCACTAAACCTTGCTTCACCACCAAACACTGCTTCACCACTAAACCTTGTTTCACCACCAAACACTGCTTCACCACCAAACACTGCTTCACCACCAAACACTGCTTCACCACTAAACCTTGCTTCACCACCAAACACTGCTCCACCACTAAACCTTGTTTCACCACCAAACACTGCTTCACCACCAAACACTGCTCCACCACTAAACCTTGCTTCACCACCAAACACTGCTTCACCACTAAACCTTGCTTCACCACCAAACACTGCTTCACCACTAAACCTTGCTTCACCACTAAACCTTGCTTCACCACCAAACACTGCTTCACTAAACCTTGTTTCACCACCAAACACTGCTTCACCACCAAACACTGCTTCACCACCAAACACTGCTCCACCACTAAACCTTGTTTCACCACCAAACACTGCTTCACCACCAAACACTGCTCCACCACTAAACCTTGTTTCACCACCAAACACTGCTTCACCACCAAACACTGCTCCACCACTAAACCTTGCTTTACCACCAAACACTGCTTCACCAACAAACACTACTTCACCACTAAACCTTGCTTCACCACCAAACACTGCTTCACCACTAAACCTTGCTTCACCACCAAACACTGATCCACCACTAAACCTTGCTTCACCACCAAACACTGCTCCACCACTAAACCTTGCTTCACCACCAAACACTGCTCCACCACTAAACCTTGCTTCACCACCAAACACTGCTTCACCACTAAACCTTGCTTCACCACCAAACACTGCTCCACCACTAAACCTTGTTTCACCACCAAACACTGCTTCACCACCAAACACTGCTTCACCACTAAACCTTGCTTCATAACCAAACACTGCTTCACCACTAAACCTTCCTTCACCACCAAACACTGCTTCACCACCAAACACTACTTCACCACTAAACCTTGTTTCACCACCAAACACTGCTTCACAACCAAACACTGCTTCACCACCAAACACTGCTTCATCAAACACTGCTTCACCACCAAACGCTGCTTCACCACCAAACACTGCTTCACCAAACACTGCTTCACCACCAAACACTACTTCACCACTAAACCTTGTTTCACCACCAAACACTGCTTCACCACCAAACACTGCTTCACCACCAAACACTGCTTCATCACCAAACACTGCTTCACCACCAAACGCTGCTTCACCACCAAACACTGCTTCAACACCAAACATTGCTTCACCAACAAACACTGCTTCACCACCAAACACTGCTTCACCACCAAACACTGCTTCATCACCAAACACTGCTTCACCACCAAACACTGCTTCACCACCAAACACTGCTTCACCACCAAACACTGCTTCACTACCAAACACTGCTTCACCACGAAACACTGCTTCATCACCAAACACTGCTTCACTACCAAACACTGCTTCACCACTAAACCTTGCTTCACCACCAAACACTGATCCACCACTAAACCTTGCTTCACCACCAAACACTGCTCCACCACTAAACCTTGCTTCACCACCAAACACTGCTCCACCACTAAACCTTGCTTCACCACCAAACACTGCTTCACCACTAAACCTTGCTTCACCACCAAACACTGCTCCACCACTAAACCTTGTTTCACCACCAAACACTGCTTCACCACCAAACACTGCTTCACCACTAAACCTTGCTTCATAACCAAACACTGCTTCACCACTAAACCTTCCTTCACCACCAAACACTGCTTCACCACCAAACACTACTTCACCACCAAACACTGCTTCACCACTAAACCTTGCTTCATAACCAAACACTGCTTCACCACTAAACCTTCCTTCACCACCAAACACTGCTTCACCACCAAACACTACTTCACCACTAAACCTTGTTTCACCACCAAACACTGCTTCACAACCAAACACTGCTTCACCACCAAACACTGCTTCATCAAACACTGCTTCACCACCAAACGCTGCTTCACCACCAAACACTGCTTCACCAAACACTGCTTCACCACCAAACACTACTTCACCACTAAACCTTGTTTCACCACCAAACACTGCTTCACCACCAAACACTGCTTCACCACCAAACACTGCTTCATCACCAAACACTGCTTCACCACCAAACGCTGCTTCACCACCAAACACTGCTTCAACACCAAACATTGCTTCACCAACAAACACTGCTTCACCACCAAACACTGCTTCACCACCAAACACTGCTTCATCACCAAACACTGCTTCACCACCAAACACTGCTTCACCACCAAACACTGCTTCACCACCAAACACTGCTTCACTACCAAACACTGCTTCACCACGAAACACTGCTTCATCACCAAACACTGCTTCACTACCAAACACTGCTTCACCACGAAACACTGCTTCACTACCAAACACTGCTTCACCACCAAACACTGCTTCATCACCAAACACTGCTTCACCACCAAACACTGCTTCATCACCAAACACTGCTTCACCACTAAAATGAGATGAGTCAAAGCCATGTTAGAAAATGCTTAAGTCTCAAAGTAGTAAATAAGAGGAATAAGCGGCTGAAGATTATGTGGCATTCTCCATACACAGTTTCAAGAGTAGGTGTGATAGAACACAACTAGGAACCAAAAAAATGAAGACCAAGAGGAAATTAAAAGCAGAGTCCAGAGCCACTGTTTATAACGCGGATGAATCACTTGTGAATCAAACAACGAAATTTCTGGTATATCATGTAACAGAACCACTGGGAAATCATGCAGTAAAACGACTGGCAAATAATGCAACAAAACCCATTGGAAAATCATGCAACAGAACCACTTTTAAATCATGCAAAAGAACCACTGTTAAATCATACAACAGAACCACTGGGAAATCATGTAACAGAACCGCTGGTAAATCATGCAACAACCACTGGTAAATCATGCAACAGAACCACTGGTAAATCATGCAACAGAACCATTGGTAAATCATGCAATAGAGCCACATTAAATCATGGAACGGATTCACCTGTAAATTATACACCACATCTGGTAAATGAAGTTATAGAACCACTAGAAAATTATGTAACACAACCATCATATTACAGAATCACTGGTGAATGACGTCACAGAACCAGCGTTGGATCGTGTGATAGTAACAATAGCGTCACAGAACCAGCGGTGGATCGTGTAATACTAACAAAAGCGTCACAGAACCAGCGGTGGATCGTGTAATAGTAACAGTGTCAGACACTTAGCACGACAGAACCGCAGATAGACCACAGAAAATAACATAAATTAAACCATACTTACTTGGAAGTATCCATCACTACAGAGAGCAACACAGCCACAACACTGACCTGGGGAACACAACGTTGTCAGGATTACCACTTGCTCTGCTAGCTGTTTCTAGTTACGAATGTTATGGCATGCAATTAAAAACTGCAGAAAATTATGTATAAGTTATTATACAAACTTTTTTCCTGGCATACCGTGCAAGAAATTTTTGCAACAAATACATTTCATGGAACATTAATGATTATGAATATCATTATTAGTCTTCAGATTTTGGAATGTGAACAAATAGTTATTATTATTATTATTAAAGATTCGCCGGTATTCTCCCGGCCCGGGCCTTGTCCAAGTGGTGGCCCGGCCGAACAAATAGTGACCTGTTGAAATTACTGTCATGTTAAGTATTAATAATATTGCATAACTATCGAGTGCTGAAACTACGTTTTCAAGATTACACTTACCAAAAAGGAGATCGAGTGATGTGTCATGGTATATGTTTTGAATTAATAATGATTGCAGGAAAATGTTGAGGATTAAAAATTTTGTGGTGGTCGTGCAAGTACAGCCTAGTACTAGGCTTGGTGAGTGAGGTGGTCGTGCAGATACAATCTAGTACTAGGCTTGGTGAGTGGGGTGGTCGTGCAAATACAGTCTAGTACTAGGCTTGATGAGTGTGGTGGACGTGAAAGTACAGCCTAGTACTATGCTTGGTGTGTGTGGTGGTCGTGCAAGTACAGCCTAGTACTAGGCTTGGTGAGTGTGGTGGTCGTGCAAGTACAGCCTAGTACTAGGCTTGATGAGTGTGGTGGTCGTGCAAGTACAGCCTAGTACCAGGCTTGGTGAGTGCGGTGGTCGTGTAAGTACAGCCTAATACTAGGATTGGTGAGTGTGGTGGTCTTGCAAGTGCAGCCTAGTACTAGGCTTGGTGAGCGTGGTGGCCTTGCAAGTACAGCCTAGTACTAGGTTTGGTGAGTGTGGTACTGGTACTGTCCTTCACGTTTACGACAGATGCAGGAGATAATACTGTCGCTCAGTTTGTGTTCAAGATGGATATCTCCTGTCTTTTATATAGTCACCAGTGGGTGGTGTAACTGGTATTCGGTTTTCACTAACGCAGGGGTAATAAATTCCTCACTCCGGGCATTTTAATTAATTTTACCACCAGCAAGGGCTGGTGCTGGGTGGTATAACGGGAACGCTTTATTTGGGAAAAATAACAGAAACCACAGGCTTATTCTCTTATAACTCCAACATGTTTTCGTATCCTTTTCCCTCGTTTTTTCTTTATAATAACCTATGTGGTATATCAAGATATCTTATTAATGAAAACAAGATACCAAATATAATTAAATTTCCAAAATTTGCTTGTAACAGATAAGTGAACTGTAGATATAAATCCAAATTTATTCCTGTAAACCATTTTGGGTCGTATTTAATAGGCCTCTTATTATCCATATATTCTTATATTACTCTCCACAGGATGGACATGAGTGTACAATAAACTAGCCGCTTCGGCGGCAAATTCTAATCAATTATTTTAGGTTAAAATGGATCGCAAGAATGGGGAAAGGAAAGATTTGAGGTAGGAGAGAGCATTGTAATCTAATGACGCACTGAATCATTAAATCAGTGTCCAAACATCCAACTATATGAAGATAATTCTTACATGAAGTGGTAAACCATTACATGATACATGTATACGGAATCTTGAGATTGTATCCTCTCGTCGTAGTGGGTAGGTGAATGAACCTCCTTGATGACGTTGATACCTAGTGATCAATGTTTATTGTGATAGTGATAATTTGTTTAAGATGGTCTTTATATTGTTGTGATATACATGCATATGTATGTATCATGCTTTGTAAATTACATGATTTCCTATGAGATGAAACTGTAATATATAAAGACCCATTGTTACTCATGTAATCAAATTATTATTGTGTGTTACTGAAATACGTATTTCAGATGAAAGTGTATGTAGCACTACTTCAGAGTTCTTATAGACGCATTCAGTTTATTATTATTATTATTATTATTATTATTATTATTATTATTATTATTATTATTATTATTATTAATATTATGTAATAAAAAGTCCTAGTGTTTGTTCTAGTGTCTTTTTAAAACACTTTGTCGGTATCAGTTATCAAGGTCCTTACAATTTAATAGCAACTCAAGAGAGGTCAACAGCATGACAGATACGCTTTTTAAATCACTTTGTCGGTATCAGTTATCAAGGTCCTTACAATTTTATAGCAACTCAAGAGAGGTCAACAGCATGACAGATACGCTTGACTGCTAGTGTGCTGGGTTATTCTCCTGCGACTTGTACAAACTCATTGCATGCTCTCGGATAGAATTTTGTGATGATTGCTTTCATTGTCCTCGCATTATGGTGCGAGTACAATGAAAGATTGGAGGGAGAAAGTATGGAGGAGGTGGATGTATTCACATATTTAGGAGTGGACGTGTCAACAGATGGGTCTATGAAAGATTAGGTAAATCACATAATTGATGAAGGGAAAAATGTGACTGGTGCACTTAAGAGTCTGTTTAGACAAAGAAATTTGTCCAGGGAAGCAAAGAGGGGAATGGATGAGATTTATACGAACACTCATAATTATATGGGTTTAAAACTTGGGTGTTGAATGTTGGAACAAGGAGAAGGTTGGAGGCAGTGGAGATGTCATGTCTGAGATCTATGTGTGGTGCGAATATAACGCAGAGAATCCGTAGTTTGGAAATTAGGAGGTGCGGGATTACCAAAACTATTATCCAGAGGGCTGAGAGAAAGGTTTTGTGTGCTAGGGGCTTTGACTTCCAGCAAGCGTGCGTGAGCATGTTAGATAGGAGCAAATGGAGACAATTGGTTTTTAGGACTTGACGTGCTGTTGGAGTGTGAGCAAGGTAACATTTATGAAGGGAGTCAAGGAAACCGGCAGGCCGGACTTGAGTCCTGGAGATGAGAAGTACAGTGTCTGCACTCTGAAGGAGAGGTTTAACTTAATGTGTAAGCACGCCTCTGGCAAGACAGTGATGGAGTGAATGATGATAAAAAATTTCTTTTTTGGGCCACCCTACCTTGGTGGGAGAAGACCGATGTGTTAATAAATAAATAAACAACTATATATATTATATATATATATATATATATAATATATATATATATATATATTTACATATATATATATTTACATAGGAGTCCTCAGGTTGTTCTTCAACTCTATACATCCTTGGTTAGGCCTCATTTAGATTATGCTGCACAGTTTTGGTCACCGTATTACAGAATGGATATAAATTCTCTGGAAAATGTACAAAGGAGGATGACAAAGATGATCCCATGTATCAGAAACCTTCCCTATGAGGATAGACTAAGGGCCCTGAAACTGCACTCTCTAGAAAGACGTAGAATTAGGGGGGATATGATTGAGGTTTATAAGTGGAAGACAGGAATAAATAAAGGGGATGTAAATAGTGTGCTGAAAATATCTAGCCTAGACAGGACTCGCAGCAATGGTTTTAA